TAAAATAAGCTGCATGAAACTGGTTGGTTGGGCTATGCCCAGGGAGGTGGCTAAGTCTGGGACTTTTGGATACGGTTACATTTTTGTTCAGGCTTGAGCTGTGCAGAGACAGTTTGAAGAGAGAGGCAGAGAGAGGCAGAGTTTGCAGTGTGCTCTTGCTTCATGAACTGCTGAAGGAGTTTATCCACATGGACAGAGAGAGACCATTTTAAATCTGGGTTGTTGTAGGTTTTTCGGGCTATATGGCCATGTTCTAGAGGCATTCCCTCCTGACGTTTCGCCTGCATCTATGGCAAGCATCCTCAGAGGCTGTAAAGTCTCACAACCTCTGAAGATGCTTGCCATACAAGGATGCCCCTGGGCAACAACAGCCAGGCTACTTCTATGCAGATACCTTCACTGATTGACTTTGCAGCTACAAGGCTATTCAATGCTAATCAAGATTACTGACTGCAACATTCAGACTTGCTTCAAACAGACAGGGTTCTTTTACCCACCCTGGACATTATTCCACTGGTATATATACACTCCACTGGCTTCATTTCAGAACAAACCTCTGAGGATGTGTGCCATAGATGCAGGTGAGACATCAGGAGAGAATGCTACTGGAACATGGGCCAGGCTTTAGCACAGCTCTTAATCACCAGCTGCAATAAATCTTATCAATCGAAAGGTTGGCAGTTCAAAGCCCGAGTCGGGGTGAGCACCCAACTTTCAGCCAAGCTCATTGTCCACCTAAGCAGTTTGAAAACAGCTGTGAGTAGATAAATTATGTACCACTTAAGCAGGGAGGTATTTTATGGCACCATTAAAAGGAAATACCAGGGGAAAAATGGTGATCAAAAGAAAGGAGGAAGTCTGTGATGAAAGGCTCTTTGACATAAAGGATGGAGCGACAGCACCCCTTGTGGCAGGAATTGAGCACAACCTCCAGGATGCCCAATGTACAATTGACTTTGAAGCTACAAGGCTATTCAATGCTTTGAGTTTTATGGGCTCTATTTATTTATTTATTTATTTACTTACTTACTTACCCAAAGGGGACTCGGGGCAGACCACACTGCACACATATGAGGGTTGAATGAAAAGTAATGTCTCCACCTTTGTAACTCCTCAACTGATGGCAGTACTGGTATGCAGCAGGTACTGGCTTGTTCAGTAGACTCTCCTCTACAGTTCCATTTTGGCGGGAAGCCTTAGCATTGAACAGTTGTTTTGTTAAAGTGCAAAGTATGGAACCCTGTGCAGACGGTCGGTCAATGCGACTTAAGCAACGTGCAGTCATTGAATTCTTGACTGCAGAAGGTGTCATCTCAACATCTTTAAACTTACTTGCCCAACAGCACACAGTATTCACATCAACACAATGACCATAAACAGCTTGCATTCTCTGATGAATCTCCTTTGGGGTGACACCTTCTGCTGTCAAGAATTCAATGACTGCATTGCTTAAGTCGCATTGACCAACCGTCTGCGCAGGGTTCCATACTTCGCACTTTAACAATACAACTGTTCAATGCTAAGGCTTCCTGCCAAAATGGGACTGTAGAGGAGAGTCTACTGAACAAGCCAGTACCTCCCTCATTTATTTATTTATTATTTATTTCGAGTTTTTATAACCTGGTCTTCTTGACCTCCAAAGAGGGACTCAGGCCGGCTAACAGCAGAGGGTTAAAATACAGTAGGATAAACCACAGTAAACATCATAGTACAAACATACATTAAAATACAGTTATACAACTTACAAAAGGTCAGTTTGTCAGAATAAATCATAAATTCATCACCATCCGCCCATGTGGTCAGCAGTTATTGACTCAGTCATCATTCTGCAAATGCAGTATTCCAAAGCCACGTCTTCACCTGCTTCCTGAATGTCAGGATAGAAGGGGTGGTTCTGATCTCCGGTGGGGGAGAGTTCCAGAGTCGAGGGGCCACCACCGAGAAGGCCCTGTCCCTCGTCCCCACCAGACGCGATTGCAAAGATGGTGGGACTGAGAGCAGGGCCCCTCCAGAAGATCTTAATAACCTTGATGGTTCATAGGGGAGAATCCGTTCGGACAGGTAATACAAATTAGAATCAGTTCGGACAGGTAAATTGGGCTGGAGTCGTTTAGGGCTTTATAGGTCAACACCAGCACTTTGAATTGTGCTCGGAAACTGATTGGCAGCCAGTGGAGCTGACGCAACAGAGGAGTAGTATGTTCCCTGTACCCTGCTCCTGTTAGTAGTCTGGCTGCTGCTCGTTGGACTAGTTGTAGCTTCTGGACAGTCTTCAAAGGCAACCTCACGTAGACAGCGTTGTAATATACGGGATGTAACCAGAGCGTGGACCACTTTGGCCAGATCAGACCAGTACTGCCATCTGTTGAGGAGTTACAAAGGTGGAGGCATTACTTTTCATTCAACCCTCATATGTGTGCATTGTGATCTGCCCCGAGTCCCCTTCGGGTAAGTAAGTAATAAATAAATAGAGCCCCTAAAACTCAGAGCAACTCAATAATGGGCCTTGACAGAAAGAAGCTTGTGGGTCAAAGACAAGACATCCCAAAACACCAACAAGACAGCCTTCCCGGTGAAAAAGTTCCAAGTTGCAATGCAGAGAGTCATTTTGGGGAAAGAATCGTGAACATGAGGTCATTTGCAACCCTGTGGTTTCAGAAACTGCATGAGCTTCATATTGTCAAAGGCTTTCATGGCCGGAATCACTGGGTTGTTGTAGGTTTTTTTGGGCTATATGGCCATGGTCTAGAGGCATTCTCTCCTGGTTTTTCGCCTGCATCTATGGCAAACATCCTCAGAGGTAGTGAGGTCTGTTGGAACTAGGAAAAAGCATGTGGAGAATGCCTCTAGACCAGGGGTCCTCAAACTACGGCCCGCGGGCCACTTCCAGCCCGCCAAGGGCACTTATCTGGCCCATGGAGAAGGAGCGCCAACCCCCCACACAGTGTGCCTCCCTTGGCTGGCTCACGCTATCCGTCAGGCCCGATGGGCAGTGTGAACCAGCCAAGGGCAGCTGCTCCGTGTGGCCTACTCGCGCGTATAGCACCTTGCGAGGTGCTTTACGCGCAAGTAGGCCGCGCGGGGCTGCTCCTCTCTTGGCAGGCTCACGCTGCCCATCGGGCCCGATGGGCAGCATGAGCCAGCCAAGGGAGGCTGCCCCAGCGCTCCATGCAGTCATGTCGGCCACGTGACCTTGGAGGTGTCTACGGACAACGCCGGCTCTTCGACTTAGAAATGCAGATGAGCACCACACCCCAGAGTCAGACACGACTGGACTTCATGTCAGAGGAAAATCTTTAACTAGGAAAATTGTGGAAGATCCAGGGTGGGAGAAAGAACTCTTGTCTGTTGGAGGTAGGTATGAATGTTTCAATTGGCCACCTTGATTACCATTTCATAGCCTGACCGTTTTTAGGGAGAATCCTTTGTTGAGAGGTGATTAGCTGGCCCTGATTGTTTCTTGTCTGGAGTTCCCCTGTGTTTGAGTGTTGTTCTTTATTTACAGTTATAATTTTAGAGTTTTTTTAATACTGGTAGCCAGATTTTGTTCAGACTAGAAATAGGGAGATTTCCCATTCTCTGCTCCTGGAATTACTGCCTAAAGAGGTCGAGAAAGAACCCCCTCTAAAGGCCCTTCCACACAGCAAAATAAGGTATGTGCAATGTGCAGAGGGATTTTTTATTGATTTTTTTTAAAAAAACCTATAGTCCGGCCCTCCAACGGTCTGAGGGACAGTGAACTGGCCTCCGGTTTAAAAAGTTTGAGGACCCTTGCTCTAGACCAGGGGTTCTCAACCTTCCTCATGCTGCGACCCCTTAATACAATTCCTCATGTTGTGGTGACCCCCAATCATAACGTTATTTTCATTGCCACTTCATAACTGTCATTTTGCTACTGTTATCAATCGTAATGTAAATATCTGATACGCAGGATGTATTTTCATTCACTAGACCAAATTTGGCACAAATACCTGATACGCCCAAATTTGAATACTGGTGGGGTTGTCATTTGGGTGTTCTGGTTGCTGGGATTTGTAGTTCTCCTACAATGAAAGAGCATTCTGAACTCTACCAACAATGGAATTGAACCAAACTTGGCACACAGAACTCCCATGGCAAACAGAAAATATTGAAAGGGTTTGGTGGGCATTGACCTTGAGTTTTGGAGTTGTAGTTCACCTACATCCAGAGAGCACTGTGGACTCAAACAATTATGGATCTGGACCAAACTTGGCACGAATATTCAACATGTCCAAATGTGAACACTGGTGGAGTTTGGGGAAAATAGTCCTTGACATTTGGGAGTTGTAGTTGCTGGGATTTGTAGTTCACCTGCAATCAAAGAGCATTCTGAACTCTACCAACAATGGAATTGAACCAAACTTGGCACACAGAACTCCCATGGCAAACAGAAAATATTGGAAGGGTTTGGTGGGCATTGACCTTGAGTTTTGGAGTTGGAGTTCGCCTACATCCAGAGAGCACCGTGGACTCAAACAATGTTGGATCTGGACCAAACTTGGCACAGATATTCAACATGCCCAAATGTGAACACTGGTAGAGTTTGGGAGGAAATAGACCTTGAAGCTATGGTTTGTTTACAGATATTCAACATGCCCAAATGTGAACACTGGTAGAGTTTGGAGGAAATAGTCCTTGACACTTTGGGAGTTATAGTTGCTGGGATTTGTAGTTCACCTACAATCAAAGAGCATTCTGAACCCCACCAATGACAGAACTGGGCCAAACTTTCCACATAGAACCCCCATGACCAACAGAAAATACTGTGTTTTCTGGTGGTCTTTAGTGACCCCTCTGACATTCCCTCGTGACCCCTCCAGGTTGAGAACCCCTGCTCTAGACCATGGCCATATAGCCTGAAAAAACCTACAACAACCCTGCATGAGCTTCATTCAGAGACGTAAGCCTGCTTCCATCACATGCACATTTGAGCCGTCATGAAAAGGCACCCATGGATACCAAAAAAAAAGATCACCCGGTCGAGTATGATGTGTCTTTGTATTTAAAAAAAAATCATTAAAATATACATCTTTTTAAAAAAATCAAACAAATCTGGTGTTAACATGTAGGTTGTTTTTTAAAACAGAGCTGCAGAACAGCATCCCATTGGGGAAGCGGATAAGGAGAAGTGGGCTTGGTTTCCTTGACATGGAAGGACACCGTTGAAAATGACAAGAGTGGCGTTCGACTACTTGTGTTCTCCTTATCAAATCATAAACACTACGTTCATTCCAAGGAGCCTCTTTTGGCTGGGTTTTCCTTTCTTTGAGATTCAAAATGGACATTGGCACATGCAGTCTACAAAGGAGGAATCAGACCCACGACAAGAGCAAAACTGAAACCTCGCCAGCATTTTTCCTCCGGTGTTTCATCCAATGCTGCTTTCACGCTGAGTTACCTAACAGCAAAACCCTAGGGATGGGGAATATTTTGAGGAGCGTAACAAGTTCTGTTGGAACAGAATAGAAATGAAGGGAAGAGACAGTTGATCAAAAACCACCCAGAGCGAACCTCGGAGGCACCGGGAGAGACATGATATCGAGACAAAGGGATTTGGTTGGTGCTTCGCAGGCAGACGCAGCGAGGAGAGGGAATCGCACATTCCGAAAAACCTCTTTCTCTGTTCTGTGTTTCCTAATTAAGATGCTTGGTAGGGGGAAAACAAGGAGCGTGTTGGGGAGAAAGTATGGATTCACCTTCAGTTACATCACAACGACTTGATCCACAAGAATGGAATTCATCTCCTTGGCTTGAGGAAAAGCGGGGGGGAAAAATTACCCGACCCGTGTCAAGCTGCTTTACAAAGCAGCATTACAAAAGCAATTTTTTAAAATTTTCTTAAAAAATCCCTTTAAATTATATTCCAAAGTGGTTAAAATTATCAGTTTGTGGTCATCTTCTGTGGGCTTCTTTTCTTCTTCTTCGAACAAAAGAAATCTAAGCAAGGTCAGCTCTGGATCTTGAAAGTGTTGATTGTCTTGAAAAAGAAAAAAAAACATTCACATTTACATCCATCCTACCCTGATAAAGAGAAATGGACCCACAGTTCACTGCACCTATCACACACACAGTCCTCTGGTTGGATGGCGGGTCCTCCAGGTTTGGCAGGCCGCTGAGCTCTCGTGCCGTCCGTCATCGCCCATCCTCTTCCCCGGTGTCAGACGAAGGAGGAGAAGCCTGTCACTGGAGTCCGTGAGCCTGGAGCAGGCTGTCCTGTTGGGGTGTACACCCCCCCTGAGCTCTGTGTTGTGATGACAGTCTGGAAGTAAGGTTCCGCCTCACTTGTGACACATTCCTCGTATCTGTAGGGCGTCGGGTGTTTGGTGCCCTTTTGCTGCCGTTTCCAGGAGTTGTAGTAGCTGGGGTCACTCATATAATGGTTGACAAAAGAGTGCTTTGGCAGCTCATCTTCGTAGTCGGAATCAGTCGCCTATAGTTTGAGAGAAAAAGGCAGATTTGTTACAAAAACAACAACTACACAATAGATTTTCACCCACTGGTCTATTCTTCAGTAGCCTTCTCAGTAGCTGCTCTTATACTGTGGAACTCCCTCACATGAAAGGTTCAATTAGTCCATGCATGGGCAAACATCAGCCCTCCAAGTGTTTTGGACTTCAATTCCCACACTTCCTAAAAAGCTCAGGCCCTTTCATTTTCCCCCTCCGCCAATTAAGATGAGGCTGTTAGGAATTGTGGGAGTTGAAGTCCAAAACCCCTGTAGGGCTGAAGTTTGCCCATGCACTCTTTAGAGTCAGCACTGCCTAGTTTGGAAGAAGTTAGCAATGCCATCAGCTAACAACAACAACAACAACAACAACAACAACAAAATAACAAAGCCAGTGGACCTGATGGGATCCCTGCTGAAATCTTTGAAGAGGATGGACAACAACTTCACCAGTTCATTGAAAAAGTGTGGGTGACCATTAGCCAAATAAATAAATAAATAAATAATAACAAAGCCAGCAGACCTGATGGGATCCCTGCTGAAATATTTGAAGAAGGTGGACAACAACTTCACCAGTTTATTGAAAAAGTGTGGGTGACCGAAACATTCCCAGCAGACTTCAAGGATGCCACCATCATCACCCTTTTTAAAAGGGGGAAAGAAGTGGAAATCATCTATTGGACAGATGCAAGCTATGTAACCTGAAAGTCAAACCCAAGGCCACAACAACATCTGTTATAGAACGCCAATATGTCAATGATAATGTAGTCTGTGCTCATTCAGAAGAAGGCCTACAAGCCACTCTAAACATCTTCGCAGAAACATACGAGAAGCTCAGCCTGTCATTGAACATCGAGAAAACCAAAGTGCTCTTTGAGTAGGCACCAGCCAATCCCTCTGCAATGCCAGAAATACAGCTTAATGGTGTAACGTTAGAAAATGTTGACCATTTCTGCTCCCTCTCCACAAAAGTCATCACTGACACTGAAATACAACACCGCCTGAGCTTTGCAAGTGCAGTATTTTTCCAAATGAAGCAGAGAGTGTTTGAGGACCAGGAAATCTGTAGGGAGACCAAAGTGCTTGTTTATAAAGCTATTGTCTTCCCAACCCTGCTATACACCTGCAAAATGTGGACTATCTACAGACCGCACACTCAACTCCTGGAACAATTCCATCAGAATTGCCTCCGAAAAATTCTGCAAATCTCTTGGGAAGACTGGCAGACACATGTCAGTATGCTGGAAGAAGCAAAGACCACCAGCATTGAAGTGATGCTCCTACGCCATCAACTCCACTGGACTGGCCACCTTGTCTGAATGCCCGATCACCATCTCCCAAAGCAGTTACTGTACTCTGAACTCAAGAATGGGAAATGTAATGTTGGTGGACAGGAAAAGAGATTCAAAGATGGGCTTAAAGCCAGACTTAAAAACTGTGGCATAGACACTGAGAACTGGGTAGCCCTGGCCCTTGAGCACTCTAAGTAGAGGTCAGCTGTGACCAGCAGTACTGCAGAATTCAAAGAGGCATGAATGGAGGGCAAAAGGGAGGAAGGCACGCCAAGCCAACCCTGACCAGGACTGCTTTCCACCTGGAAACCAATGTCCTCACTGCAGGAGAAGATACGGATCAAGAACAGGGCTCCACTCCCACCTATGGACCCACCACCAAGACACTACACTTGAAGGACCATCATCCTTGAGCTACAAGGAATCACCTAAGTAAGTAAGAAAGAAGTAAGTCAGCCAGTTGTGAGTAAGGAGGATGTAGGTGAACTACAACTCCAAAAAACTCAAGGTCAATGTCCACCAGACCTTCCCAGTATTTTCTCTTGGTCATGGGAATTCTGTGTGCCCAGTTTGATTCAATTCCATCATTGGTGGAGTTCAGAAGGCTCTTTGATTTTAGGCGAACTATAAATCCCAGCAACTCCAGCATTACCAAATGACAAAATCAATCACCCCCAACTCACCAGTATTCAAATTTGGGCGTATTGGGTATTGGTCTAGTGACTGAAAATACATCCTGCATATCAGATATTTAGATTACAATTCATAACAGTAGCAAAATTACAGTTGTGAAGTAGCAACGAAAATAACATTATGGTTGGGGGTCACCACAACATGAGAACCTGTACTAAGGGGTCGCGGCATTAGGAAGGTTGAGAAACACTGTTCTACAGCCTCAGTCTGCAATACCTTGGGAATGTTTTGGCCAGGGCACTTTGAAGATCAAAAAGCTAAGTTTCTGGAGGGTGGGATAGTATCATCAGAAGTAGCTCTGCCAATAAAACTCCATTGTCATAGTTATGTCTAATACTTATGCCAATGGAACTCCATCATCATAGTTATGTAGGGCTTTTGGTCACAATATCTGCCAAAATAAGGATGCTGGGAACACTCCGTAAGTCATTAGTGTGGTATCGATTTCAGCTACGTTTGATTATGAAACAGATAAAAAGTCAGGCAATATTCCCAAGATTAAACAGAAGCTATTACAACTGACTGATTTTGGGTGGTAGTGGTCTAATGCACCTGCAAATTGCAAATTGCAATGGGATCATGCCGACAGGGTAGCGATAATAGCAATTTGAAGGTGCCTAGGTTTCCCCATCTTCAGGCATTATGGTTTCTCCTTTTGTCAGCAGCCTTTATTTTTTAGATGTGTCTACGCAGTCTGCAATACAGGTAGAATATGGAGTTGCTAGAGTGAAAAATGGAACCTTTAATGGTTGTGTAAAAGATAGAATTCCAGCTCATTGTGAAGCAGATGCTGAAATTCTATCATCGGCACAACCATGAAGTGTTTTTACTTTGGCAACCCCAGCACAATGGCTCCTAAATGTGCCACCTAATAACTGGTCATTTTTCTGGATTCCCTGGTGCTTCAAAGGTTTATTTATTTATTTACTTTATTTCTATACCGCTTTTCTCAGCCCTTAGGCGACTCAAAGCGGTTTACATAGTACAAATTATCACAAGACAGTATCATAGGCAATTAAAACACATTATACATAACAATCAATATCAATAAACAATCATTATCATAACGCCTCAACAACAAATCAGAATCCATTCTCATAATCCTTTGTTTCATGTTCCTATGTTCGATTGCACTGTATTCCTATATTCAATTGCACTGTTTAGCCAAACGCTTGTTCGAAGAACCAGGTCGTCACCTTCCTCCGGAACGCCAACAACGAAGGGACCTGTCTGATGTCTGCAGGTAGGGCATTCCACAGCCGAGGGGCCACCACCGAGAAGGCCCTGTCCCTCGTCCCCGCCAAGCGCGCCTGTGATGCAGGCGGGATCAGAGCAGGGCCTCCCCAGACGATCTTAATGTCCTAGTCGGTTCATAGGTGGAGATGCGTTCGGAGAGGTAAGTAGGGCCGGAACCGTTTAGGGCTTTATAGGCTAACGCCAGCACTTTGAATTGTGCCCGGTAGCAAACTGGCAGCCAGTGGAGCTGGCGCAACAGAGGAGTTGTATGCTCCCTGAGTGCCGCTCCTGTTAGCAACCTGGCTGCCGAGCGCTGGACCATTTGAAGCTTCCGAGCAGTCTTCAAGGGCAACCCCACGTAGAGAGCGTTGCAGTAGTCTAGACGGGATGTAACCAGAGCGTGGACCACCGTGGCCAAGTCAGACTTGGGCGCAGCTGGCGCATGAGTTTTAACTGTGCAAATGCTCCCCTGGTCACCGCCGAAACCTGGGGTTCCAGGCTCAGGAATGAGTCCAGGATCACTTCCAAGCTGTGAACCTGCACCTTCAGGGGAATATAACCCCGTCCAACACAGGCTGTAACCCTATGCCCTGTTCGGCCTTGCGGTTGAAGTTTGGGATGAATTGCAAAGAGAACCATGCGAGTCCACACTGTGTTTGCAAGTTGGAGCCAGAAACAGTAAGGCAGATGGATGCCAAGAGAGTGGGTTTGGTGTGCTGGGTTCAGCAAGAGGTCCAAGAAGCAAACGAGAGGCACAAAGACCAAAAGCGGGAGGTTCTAGTCACGGGTTTCGCATGGCTAGACCTCCAGCTTTCTTTCCGGAGGCACATCAGCATTTAAGTATATAGCACTGGATGGGTTAGCAATTGCCCAATGTACCGTCTGGAACAAAACAGATTCCAGGAACTGCAATCTCGGCTCCGTTCACCTAGGAACCCTTGAAGTTTATTCCTCCCACAGTCCCCCGTGATTATACAAATTGCTCCTACAACTGGATTATGTTTTAGAGTGGCCACATTATTTTTAATGATGCAAACTATTGACTAAATGGAAATGCTGCAGGGCTGTTTTCTTCTCCGCCTTGCGTGCGGCGGTCCTCTTTTCCCCCGCAACGGCAGGCCAGTTGCCACGGCAACAAGCAGCAGCCCGGCATCGGATTGGGCAGGCGGCGGGATGAGAAATTGACAAGCCAAGGTGCGGTGGCGCGGATGCCGGCGAAGCCACCAAATCAGAGGAAATGTGTGACAATTTCGAAGTATTTCTTATTGGCAGAATGAAAAACAAAATGCGATCGGGGGACAAATTAAGGACGATTGGGCTAGTTTAGTTTAAGGCCGGCATTACCGGGAGTATAGACAGAAATGGTGGTGGCTGTCAAATTTCTTCCTTGAACGGCTGGAGACAGGGAATTCTGCACATCCGTTTACCACTAATAGCAGAGGGAATAATCATGTATATTCACGCTCTTTGCAAAAGATTGCAGGAGAATGAATGTCCACCCTCTTTGTGTTTCTCAACTACTCTGAGCTACCATTTTCTCTGGTTCTTTGTCCCTTTCTGGCCTCCTCTCTCTCTCTGGATATGTTCCAGAAGCATCAACCTGTGTGCCTGTTGTGTTTCGACACAGGAACAGGAGGTTCTTGTGGGTTTTTTCGGGCTATAGAGACATGTTCTAGAGGCATTTCTCCTGACGTTTCGCCTGCATCTATGGCAAGCATCCTCAGAGGTAGTGAGGTCTGTTGGAAATAGGACCATGGGTTTATA